AATAGCCTCAAAGTGCATCTGATTCCTTTTCTAAGCATTCATATTCCTCATTGCCACAAGAGGGCAGCAGTCCCTGAACGGTGTCGCACTGGCTAAACACTGAGTTCCAGAAACAGACACTTTGGGCTCAGTGGCCATTAACGGTTCACTGAATCAAATGGTGCTTTTTTTGGAGCTGCATGTTAGCCTGGGGGCTATAAGGGGACATGCTCTGATAAAAACAAACTGAAATCGGTGCAAGGATCCCTGTACTGTGGAATCGGAAGATCTGGGTAGAGAGATGGCAGGGATATCTCTTCCGTCCATTTCCTGGTAACTGAAGGGCTTTCTGGGCATCTGAAGCAGTGAGATCCAGCTTCTGGTGAAGGTGTGACAGTCCACTCAGGGATCGGCATCTCTGGTAGTTGGAATAATCTTCCTAAACCAAGCAGCTTCCCTCCCTATAATTTCACAGAGGGAATATTTTTGGGCTGTCCCCTAGGGCTCTCCCAAGTGTTAATCCTCTGCCATTTTGAAGATAGTTGACGACTTCCAAGTCTTCAGTCTAAATAGTTCTAGTTCTTTACAGCCCTCCCTTTATGAGTAAGGAAGTTACTCATCTCTCTGGTGACGGAACAGTTTTAGAAGTCAGATCTAGCCTCCTTACATAGTACCTCTGTTTGTGGGTCTGTGCTGTCCATAGAAGATCTCCAAAATCTAAAGGATCAGCTCATGGAAATCAAAGCCTCTCACAAGCAGGAAGCTGGAGCTGGAAGCAAGCACTGAACACAGGACTTGGGACCAACCCAGAGAGGCTGAGACTCTGATTCCAGCTTCGGCTGCTGGAAGCCTCTGTGTGCTCTGAGTTAAGACATTCAATTCTACTGGTTCTACTGGACTTTTCCCCCAGGATCTGCTAATCAGTAGCACTCAAGTGTGGCTCTAGCACTAAGGAAGCTGTGTTAGTGTTTTACCTAATAGACTTTCATTGTTCAGATAAAACTTGGAAAGTGCAGGTAAGTATGAAGAAGAGAGTCCCATAATCCTATGACTTAGAGGAAACTTAACATTTTTTTTTATACCAAACCTTTTAACAATCATGCCTCTACCTACTGTGGCTTTGCCCTTCTATCTTGTTAAGCCAAAACCCATGGCAATTCTGGCTACTTTCTCCTGAGGACCACATATATATATAACGTATATAATTATAGAAATCATGTCAAGAAGAGCTGTGTTTAAGGTGTAAACTTTCAGTAGATGCACTTACAAAACAGCCATGTTGTTTAATTTGGGGTCTATTGGAAAACAAAAGTAACTTCAAAATAACAAAGTTCTATTGAATTCCTTAGATTACATGTACCATGAGGGGAATTGTGGTCCTTTGGCAATACTTCTCAAAAGCCCCTTTCGTCTGTTTTGTTTGTTTGTTTGTTTGTTTTTGGTTTGTTTTTTTTTTGTTGTTTTTTTTTTTGAGATGTTTCGCCCCGTCGCCCAGGCTGGAGTGCAGTGGTGCCATCTTGACTCACTGTAACCTCTGCCTCCTTGGCTCAAGCAGTTCTCCTGCCTCAGTCTCCTGAGTAGCTGGGATTACAGGTGCATGCACCACCATGCCCAGCTAATTTGTGAATTTTTAGTAAAGACGAGGGTTTCACCATGTTGACCAGGCCGGTCTTGAACTCCTGACCTCAAGTGATCCACCCTCCTTGGCCTCCCAAAGTGCTAGGATTACAGGCATGAGCAACTGCGCCTGGCCTGTTCTGGATATTTCTTATAAATGAAATCATACAGTGCTTTTAGTTAACATAATGTTTCCTTCGTTTATTCAGGTCACAACACATAATCATGCTTCATTTCTTTTTATTACCAAGTAATATTCCATTATATGAATATACTACTTTGTATCCATTCATTGGCTGACAGACATTTGAGTTGTTTACACTTTGGGGTCATGAATCCTCCTAGCAACATTCATGTACAAGTTTTTGTGTGGATATATGTTTCATTCCTCTTGAGTATACACCTAGGAGTGGAATACCTCCAAATGGGTCATAAGATAACTCTGTGTTTAACCTTTTGAAGAACTACCAAACTATTGACAAAAGTGCACTTTTTTATGTTTTCATTGGCAGTGTGTTGGGGTGGAGTTTCTTATAATGCCAAATAATTGAATTTGTTCAGGAAGCAAGTAATATCTAGCTTATATACTGAGCTTTTAAAGATACCCTTAATGTCATTTTTTAAGAAACCAAGTTGGCCAGGCTCAGTGGCTCACGCCTGTAATTCCAGCACTTTGGGAGGCTGAGGCAGGTGGATCACGGTCAAGAGATCGAGACCATCCTGGCCAACTTGGTGAAACCCCATCTTTACTGAAAATACAAAAATTAGCTGGGCGTGGTGGTGCACACCTGAAGTCCCAGCTACTCAGGAGGCTGAGGCAGGAGAATCACTTGAACCCAGGAGGCAGAGGTTGCAATGAGCTGAGATTGCGCCACTGCATTCCAGCCTGACAATAAAGTGAGCCTCCCTCTCAAAAAAAAAAAGAAAGAAAGAAAAAAGAAACCAGATCTTTATTTACTGTAAGACTCCAAGTACTTTAATATAGTTGAAGCTAAAGAAAATAAATTTTGCATTCTGCCTCTTAATTGCATGGGAAACTGTACTTATTAAGCATTCAGTTTATACTATGTAACACTGTATTGTAAATATACCCGTATTTTCTCTGTTTAATATTTAGCGTATTTTCGACTTTTGCCTATACTGTGATGATTCGTTAGTACATAAATATTCATCTGTATTCTGGAATATTTAAGAGATTTCCAAAAGTATAGGACAAAGAATATGAACACTACCAAAGCTCTTGACTTACTAGCTCCACTGCTTTAAAAAAGATGTGTGACAGCCTTTGGTCTCACCATGATTTCATTGCACCCTCACTAGTGCTGGGTGTTCTTTCTTGTTAAAACACTAAAACCAAAAACACCTTAAGAGACCTCCAGCCTCTCAGAGGTCCCCATCCTGTCCCCTATCCATGACTAGCCATCTCCTTTCTCTCCAGAAACCACTATCCTGACTTGTAATAGGGGAGAAAAAAATCCTTGCTAATTTAATGCTTTTGTATACTGTGCTAAAGTAAACCAAGTTATCACTGAATTCCAACATTTTTAAGCCATCTGGTTTTTGTTGTTGTTGTTGTTGTTTTTTTTTTTTTTGGAAATTCAGTGCTTAGCCATGTACTTTGCAAAGATAGCTTTCTTCATTTCAAGGTCCCCAAATGGGTGGGGACAGGGAGCCCACATGATTTCTAAAATCCAGGGTCTTATATCTGGCCAGTGTGCCCTGGCTGTGCCCAGGATCTCTCTTGGGCAGCAAATGGGACTTCTTTCTTGCCATCTTGTCTAGGTAATGTTGGGCCTTTTCCTAGGTAATGTTGTATCACCAAATGAAACTCCAGGGGATGACAATCCAAGACTCCAAGACAGCAGCAGAACTTTGACATGATGAATGGACCATTTTACCCAAGGCAGAACACTGCTAAATTCACCACTCCTAATCAAATTTTTTAGAGGTGGTGAGTTCCCTTTCTAGAACAGGATACAATAAATAGAGCCATTGCTCTTTCCCCTACAGACCTGTACAGAAGCCTAGAATGGGAAGCTCTGGCTTCCCAGCTTGAGGACAACAGGATGTTTTTCTTAGATCAGACCTGGCACTTCTCCCCAGCTCTGCTGTGGGCTCTATTCCCTGGTCTTCCCCTTGCATTGAGAAATACAATTACCGACATATGGGAAGTGATATTAACACAAATTCAGGCGACTGGAACTCTCTGGGGAAGCACATGGTACTCTGCTGCTGCCATGCAAAAAGAAGGAATAGAATTTTTCCCAGGAGCCCAGGAAAGATTCCAAGTTCATTGCTGTTGTCAGCACAAACCCCCAAGCCCACCTCAACTCACTAGAATCTACTATTGTTATTTGCAACTCTCTGAAGATAGGGCAGGGGGAACATTACTGCTCACTACCTGAGGTTCAGGGAGGTTAAGTAACTGACCCAGATTTAGTTAGAAGAACTGGGATTGGAACTCAGAGATGCTGAAATCTTGTGGAGATTCCTTCTGTCACTCTGTGTTCCTGCTGTGCAGAACAGTCCTCAGATTGTGGTAGCCTAATGTGGAAAATATTGGGCTTTGGAGAACAGTAGATCCAAGATGAAATCTGTGTTCTACCATTATATTATGGGAATTTCGACAATTATTTACTATCTCTGACCCTATTATAATTGGGGACAATAAACTGTTAAAGATTAAGTGAAAACACTACAAAATATCCACCATAGTATATGGGTTTGAATCTTGGCTTTGCCTTTTTCTAACTGATTGCATGACAAATGGCAGAAATGTCATAGGGTAGAAATGAGAGGTCGTCTGGGTGTTTGGAGAACTATTTAAGCTCCCAGCCTCCATTTCTACATCTCTAATAATATAACAACAAAAGCCTAGTGTCTAGGTACAGTGGCTCACACCTATAATCCCAGCACTCTGGAAGGCCAAGGCAGGAGAATGACTTGAGGCCAGGAGTTTGATACCAGCCAGGCAACGTAACAAGACCCTGTGTCTACTAAAATAAAAATTAGCCATGCCTAGTGGCATGTATCTGTAGTTCTAGGATATTTTTCTTAGACCTGGCATTTTTCCCCTGGTCTGCCTCATGGGCTCTGTCCCCTGGTCTTCCCATTACACTCAGAAGGCTGAAGCAGGAGGATCTTTTGAGCCTAGGAATTCAAGATTAACACTGAGCCGTGATCATGCCACTGCACTCTACCCTTGGCAACAGAATAGACCCTGTCTCTACAAGAAAAGGAAAAACAAGCCTTATGTTTTTATGATAAAATAAATTCACAGTTTTGAGACATTCAAGTCCCATGCCTCAATGACTATGTCATTTAGCCTTAGTTTCCTTATCTGTAAAGCAGTCTGAGCAGGGATTATCTCTGTATTGCCAGGTGATCGTAGACCTTAAATGTAGGTGCTCACTTTGGCAGTACATATACTAAAATTGAAATGAGACAGAGAAGATTAGCATGGCCCCTGCACAAGGATGATGTTTTAAAAAATGTTTAAAAGAAGAAAAAAAATCAAAAGTAGATGCAGACTATTTTATAATGCATGATCTCAAAACAAAAGAAGAGTAAGATTCCATGTCACCTAGAAGAATTAGTGATCTTAAGTGGTTTTGAGTGTCTAGAGGAAGCTCATGTTTTATTGTGTCTCTTATGTGGCTGATGAGAGACTTTCTATTTTATTAATGATGGTATTGAAGCCAGATGTTAAGTAACTTGCCCAAGTTAACATAGGTAGTGTGTGACCAGCCTGGCTTTAACTCATGGCTTATTCTCCAAAGACCATGGTTTTTTGTTTGTTTGTGTATTTTAAGGTAAGAAGGTTATGACCAGGCCTTTGAGTGTTATCTGAGAAATAAGGTCAATGGTTATAAATGTGTGTATGCAGAATTTCTTAGTAGGATGGCTAACCTTAGGGCTATCAGAATTGTATTCCTACGTAAAACTACTTCAGGAAAGACAGGCTTGGGAATGACACCCTTTTCATAAGTGCAAAATAAAATACCAAACTCTAGTGACCTTGTACTATCTTCTCTCTACTCCTACCGCCACCACTCCCAACCATTTGAAAAGAGAGTCCCCCAGAGAGCTGCCATGAGGGTGGTCAGCATGGCAGCTGGGAGGGCTGATGCACCACTAACCCTGAAGACCTCTCATTTCTGCAACATGACACCCACCAATGAGCACATCTGAGAGGATGGGGATGGGTAGTGACTAGAGAGCTCTTACAGCCGGAGGACAAGACAGGATCCTGTGGCTCCTGCGGGGCCCGGGAAGGCACAAGGAGGAGGTGCCAGCTCCAGCAGCCTTTCCTCTATAGGCCCCTGAGTCTTCATAGCATAGCCCTGTCCTGTCAAGGAGCGGGTACCCTTACCTGAGGAGAAGCTCCAGGGAAGGCAGCCCTGGGCATGACCCCCAGGTAGCAGCTGCTCATGGCTAAGAGAGGGAACCCACCTTCCCAAGCTCTGGCTACACCGTTAGACCCCCAAGGCCCAGCCATTACTGCTCAGTTTGGTCATTGACAATTGTCTAGAGATTGTGCCACCAGTCCTTCCAGAGCAAGAATTACTTCTCAACTCACTGTCCAAAAAAAAGGAGAGAGGGCTTCAATTCTAATTCCTAGATAGGTGATTAGCCATGTCATGGCATCCCCAGGAAGTGCTAATTTTTAATAGATTTCCAGAAAGGACCAGATATATCCTTCTCAAACTGTTCTCTCTTATTCTCTTCCTCTTTCTCCCCATCCCATTTCCTTCTTCCAAATCCAAACACCCAGGAGCTCAGACTGACAGAGACAGCTGTGTCCTTACGGTTGGTTGGCTAGGGCAGCCTGAGTTCTTTTGCTAGTTGGAAGACGTGGGTGAGGAGGGGGTATTGTAATCAAGCAGCAGGAGCTTCTACTCTAGAGATTTTTAGGTCCAGAGAGGACTAACCCCTGTCCCCTCCCCTCCCCTTGCCACTTACCCTCTTCTTTCCTTTTTTCTTTTTTTGAGACAGAGTCTCACTTTGTTGCCTAGGCCCAGGCTGGAGTGCAATGGCAAGATCTTGGCTCACTGCACTCTGCCTCCTGGGTTCAAGCAGTTCTCCTGTCTCAGCCTCTGGGGTAGCTGGGATTACAGGCATGTGCCATTACACCTGCCTAATTTTTGTATTTTTGGTAAAGACAGGGTTTCACCATATTGGCCAGCCTGGTCTCGAATCCCTGACCTCAAGTGATCGACCCACCTTGGCCTTCCAAAGTGCTGAGATTACAGGTGTGAGCCACTGCATCCGGCCTGACTTTTTTCTGAAGACTGCTCTGGGATTGTCCTGGCCCTGAACAGAAGGAAGATGCCCAGCAGTAACAGCACCATCATGGACCCTGGCTTAAAGCCCTCATACATTTCAGGTCTGCGTCAGTTAGTGTATATGGGGAAACTTCGAGTAGCCATAGGCGCAGGTATCTGTGTGTCTAAAGAGGCAGCAGTGCTTTTTTTTTTTTTTAATTTTAATTTTCATTAGGTGTATACTGTATCTGGCATATCTCCCCGTGTTGTCCCTGCCCACCCTCCACTCCCTCCCCATCCCCTGCTGTCTTTCCCCTACCCCCACCAACTGCCCCCAGTTTGTGATACTCCTCCCCCTGTGTCCATGTGTTCTTATTGTTCAACACTCACCTATGAGTGAGAACATGCGGTGTTTGGCTTTCTGTTCTTGTGTCAGTTTGCTGAGAATGATGGTTTCCAGATTCATCCAAGTCCCTACAAAGGACACAAACTCATCATTTTCTTATGGCTGCGTAGTATTCCGTGGTATATATGTACCATATTTTCTTTGTCCGGTTTATCATCAGTGGGTATTTGGGTTGATTCCAGGCCTTTGCTATTGTACACAGGGCTGCAGTAAACATACATGTGCATGTGTCTTTATAGGAGAACAATTTATAGTTCTTTGGGTATATAGCAGTAATGGGATTGCTGGGTCAAATGGAATTTCTTTTTCTAGGTCCTGGAGAAATCACCACACTGTCTTTCACAATGGTTGAACTAATTTAACTCCCACCAACTGTGTAAGAGTGTTCCTGTTTCTCCGCATCCTCTTCAGTATCTGTTGTCTCCAGATTTTTTAATGATCGCCATTCTAACCGGCATGAGATGTTATCTCAATGTGACTTTGATTTGTGCTTCTCTAATGACCAGTGATGATGAGCATTTTTTCATATGGTTGTTTGCCTCATATATGTCTTCTTTTGAAAAGTGTCTGTTGACATCCTTTACCCACTTTTGAATGGGGTTGTTTGTTTTTTTCTTGTATATCTGTTCTAGTTCTTTGTAGATTCTGGGTATTAGCTCTTTGTCAGATGTGTAGATTGCAAAAATTTTTTGCCATTCTGTTGGTTGCCAGTTCACTGTAATGATGGTTTCTTTTGCTGTACAGAAGCTCTGGAGTTTAATTAGATCCCATTTGTCTGTCTTGGCTTTTATTGCCATTGCTGTTGGTGTTTTAGTCATGAAGTCCTTGCCTATGCCTATGTCCTGGATGGTTTTGCATACGTTTTCTTCTAGTGTTTTTATAGTGTTAGGTATTATGTTTAAGTCTTTAATCCATCTGGAGTTAATTTTAGTGTAAGGTGAAAGGAAGGGGTCCAGTTTCTGTTTTCTGCACATTGCTAGCCAGTTTTCCCAACACTGTTTATTAAACATGGAGTCCTTTCCCTATTGCTTGTTTTTGTTGGGTTTGTCAAGAACTGAAGGAGATAGAGACACAAAAAGCCCTTCAAAAAAATCAATAAATCCAGGAGCTGGTTTTTTGAAAAGATCAACAAATAGACCACTAGCCAGATAAAAAAAAAAAAAAAAAAAATCAAATAGATGCAATAAAAAACCATAAAGGGGATATTACCACTGATCCCACAGAAATACAAACTACCATCAGAGATTACTACAAACAGCTCTATTCACATAATCCAGTAAACCAGGAAGAAATGGATAAATTCCTAGACACTTGTACTCTACCAAGACTAAACCAGGAGGAAGGTGAAACCCTGAATAGACCAATAACAAGGGCTGAAGTTGTGGCAGCAATCAGTAGCCTACCAACCGAAAAAAGCCCAGGTCCAGACGGGTTCACAGCCAAATTCTACCAGACGTACAAAGAGGAGCTAGTTCCATTCCTTCTGAAACTGTATCAAACAATACAAAAGGAGGGAATCCTTCCTAACTCATTTTATGAGACCAACATCATCGTGATACCAAAAACAGGCAGAGACTCAACTAAAAAAGAAAACTTAAGGCCAATATCCATGAGGAGCATCGATGCAAAAATCTTCAGTAAAATACTGGTAAAATAGTAGCAGTGCTTTTAATCCTGTTACAAAAGTAAAATTAAAAGTGAAAGGATACACACACACACACACACACAAAACCTTGTGACTCTTGCTGCATTTCCATTATTTACCATCGGGTGTCAGTATACCACATGGGAAGAGGGAGCTTTAAGAGCTGGGGTACTCAAGTTGGTACCTGGGGAGGGAGCTCGTCCTCCGTTTTCCTGTGGATCTCTCAGTGGGAGTCCTTCTAGGCACCTCCTCCCCCTACCCCTGCTGCCATCATTCTATCCCTGGTTTGGTCTGTCCTTGTATTCCCAGCAATTCTATACTGCAGGGTGCCTTCTGTGTTCTCTGCAGGGCATCCCTCTTTGACTCAGGCTAGCAATGGCCAGAATTCATTTACTGTGTGCCAGCTTGCACCAATCATCTGATTTACTTATCAAAACAGCTCTCTGACATGGCACAACTAGTTAGGCAGATTGACAGATCAGGAAGGGGCCTGGAGAGATGAAGGGCAGCTTCATGGGATGCATGCATGATGGACTTTACCTGGGTGGTTTCCCCAGAGGCAGAGCCACACCACTGCACGAGGTCACTCCACTCTTCAGATTGTGCCAAATCACTGGGCTCTAAGTCAGCTCACAGGACAACTTTTAGCAGTTTCTGCTACCTCATGACAAAGCCCAAAGACTGAACTTCTAATTCTTCCCAGCACATCACATTAACACAGGCAGAGGAGAGAAGGTGATTATGTAGGGAAGGCAGCCTCCTGCCTGCACCAGAGGACCCGGCCCCAAGCACACATTTCTTTGTCTTCTCCCAAATAAGTCATACTTGAAAGCTCTTTTGCCCTAGCTTTGGGAAAGCAAATAACTGGAGGGTGCTACTTTTGGGGTCAAAATCCAGCCGAGTGTGGTGGCTCATGCCTGTTATCTAAGCACTTTGGAAGGCCGAGTTGGGTGGATCACTTGAGGTCAGGAGTTCGAGACCAGCCTGACTAACATGGTGAAACCCCCCCCCTGCCCCCCATCTCTACTAAAAATACAAAAATTAGCTGGATGTGGTAGCACATGCCTGTAACCCCAGCTGCTTGGGAGGCTGAGGCACAAGAATCGCTTGAACCCAGGAGACAGAGGTTGCAGTGAGCTGAGGTCACACCACTGCCCGACAGCCTTGGCGACAGAGCGAGATTCTAAAACAAATCC